AAAGTTGAGATAAATCCAGAATTCTCTGCTGCGATAAAAGACGTTTTTAATTTCGAAGTGGAGAATGTAGATTTTTCGAAGAACATCGAAACAGCAAACGAAATGAATAAATGGGTTGAAAACCAAACCGATCATCGTATTAAAAATTTAGTGGCTGCTAATGATTTAGATGCCAGTACCTGCAGTATTCTTCTGAACGCTATTTACTTCAAGGGTAATTGGAACCGTCCTTTCGACAAGGAAAATACCAAGGACGAAGACTTTCACGTCTCCAAAGACCAGACCATCACGGTTCCAATGATGCATAACAATACTCTATTCAAATATGCCAAAAGTAGTGAATTAAACGCTCAGTTGTTAGAAATGCCGTATAAACGACACGAAGCCACTTTTATCGTGATTTTGCCCAACGAAGTGGACGGCCTTACAGCTCTCGAAGACAAACTCAGAGATCCTACTGCTTTGGAAAAGGCCATGTTGCAAATGAATATTTATGACGTCAATGTATCTCTGCCCAGATTTAAAATTGAATCCAAAATTGATCTCAAGGATGTACTTGCAAAAATGAAAGTGAACCGTATTTTTGACCCCGAACAAGCCCAATTAAATCGTTTGTTAAAGAACAAATACAATTTGTACGTGAGTAAAGCCATCCAAAAGGCATTCATTGAAGTCAATGAAATAGGTACCGAAGCAGCTGCTGCTAATAAATTTGAGCTTATGACAGGTTGGGCAGGACCCTCTCCTACATCATCGTTCATTGCCGATAAACCGTTTTACTACGGTTTGAATATTGGCCATACAACTGTACTTTCAGGAAGATATATGGGTCAATCTACAGACACGCGAAGTTCCTGTCCGTGCAAACTTTCTGCTAGTATGTAAATTCTACTACAACCATTTGTAACTGAGGTATGTAATGTTATCAATCCATATCTGTATCATAACCAATGATCGGAAAAAGGTGTTCCACATACATCGAGTTGTTAAAACCACCAAATTTTAATTCATTACATTTTTCGAATTTCGGATTTCCGGAAATGGTTTTACTCGATCGTAGGACAAAACTACTTTATCTAGGTATTCAAAGTTGGATTTTAAAGTAAATCTCACTAGAAGCACCACTGTGCTATGTAGAAAAAATGCAGTAGATAACTGACATTTCATTACAGTAAACCTGCTTGGCGGAAGAAATAAATATGGTGGCAGCATTTTCCTTTTTTTGTTAATCCAGGGGAATCTGCTTACAGATACCCCGGCCCCGCGGGGCAGAGCCGGGGTTATATGCGACTAGGCTGAACCCTGAAGGGGTACCCGCACTAAACTCCAGGAGTGTTCCTCCTCTCCGCTCCAGGAGTGTTCCTCCCCCGAGTCCGCTATCCAGGACAGTATCTACTCAACTGTGAAGTTCAGATTCTGCTCCCCCAGCCCCCGCGGCGGATCTGTTGGCAGGCTCCGCCGCAACAACTAACCCGGAGTCCCTTAGAGCGCCAATCGCACGGGCCAACCGCCACTGCATCATCTTAAGCGGCGCAACCCCGCCAGGATTGCGGAGGACAGGAAGAGCGGCAACGACACACCGAGACGTCTCCCCTCCGCGACCTTCCTCCCAGCGCGCAATCCGCGCGGTCCCGTTGACCAGACGAGTCCGCGCGGAACACCCTTCATATCGGGCCAGCCTACCACCTTAGGCTGGTCCCGTGGGTTCCTCTTGGCTTCACCGTGAGATGAAATGGACCACGGCTACTAAAGCCCCCCGCCGCGACAAGGCGGGAACCCCTTCGGGGGGGTGGCAGTACTTTCCTGGACGAACTCTTTCACAAGGAGCTTTACTGCTACTAAAATGATGATAATGACGAAGATGCTAATAATGCTGATGCTGATGATGAGTTTGTCATATAGTCACTCTCGTCGTTAATTGCCATGTCTGAGTGAGGTATTACGGCCTATTCCACTAGTCCATGCCACCTATTCCTCTACCATACCAACTAAAACGATGTCGTTCAGTTGGTTTGGCAATAGTGGCTTATCGATGAATATCGATCAAATACAAACTCAAATAATCTTTATTATAGTAAAGTGAATTACTTATTTATGTATATTTTATTACACTTGAAGTTGTCATATTGAATAAATTGTATTGCTCATTTTTAAGACAGATTTCCTTGAGAAGAATAAGCAAGAAACTCGAGGTGTTGCTCTTTGTAAATAAACATTCGTGTTATATAAAATATTCTATTTTTTTTAAATAAAATGTAAGTGCGCATTTGATTTCCATGTCACCTGATGGAAAGTGACGAACATAACATAATCGAGATAACCTGCAAGAGTTGAATTTGGTCATTACCACGAATTATTGTCATCCAAGTACGCAGAAACTATATAAATAACCTTTCAAGTTTTTAACCTTTAAAGTTCCTTTACTTCTGCCGATTTTGTGACATCATGACAAATAAAAACCACCTATATTTATTGATCTCAAAGTCTTAATATATTTTTATAATCCGACAGACTGAGACCTAGAATGTTCCACATAATTCTTTGCTACTCGAATGTTGTCGAAGTATGTCCCTACCTGTGACGATGTTCATAGGATTTTTAGCTCTACGTAATTTACATAAGAACTATTTAATAATTGTGCCATTGAGTGGTGTGTAAAATTAGATAACATAATTATTCAATAGTACTTATGATCAGTTTTGGACGTTTGTAATTTTTTCCCAAAAATTAAATACTGCATGTCTAATTTCGTTTGATAATTATATCCAATCAACGTTATATTTTCTTAGTAGTGTAATGTAAGATTACAAGTATGTGCGTGTGGTAAAACCGATTTTGTTACTAATGCCACTTGATACCATTTCCACTAGTTTGATATTCCGTGTTGATGGTGAATACTCGCCATTTCAACACTGAACATCTGCAGCACCAGAGAGGCTGACGATACGTTGCTTACTTGAAAGAGCAGTAAGGTGTCTTTTTAACCGCCTTCAATAAAAGGAGGAGGTTCTCTATTCAACTAATATGTTTTTTTTTTGTATTTATGTTACGCTATAATTTTGAACCGATTTTGATGATTCTTTTTTTTCTTGGAAAGAGAGTACAGCAGTAGTGGTCCCATATAATTTTGAAGAAAATAATCCACCTCTAAGGGTCGCTGTTCACGCTTGAAGATTCATTTTTATAAATAGCGCTTAAATTTTAGTACAAGGAGCAATTATTTTAATATTTGATTTTGCTATGCTTCAATTGAAGGCGTTTTTCTCTCTATATATTTCAAGCAGTGAGCATAGATTTTTATTATCTCCTGTGTTAAGTCCCGTATAGTGGCGAACTAGGGGATGATCCGGTAACCGATTTCATATATAAACTAAAACTTGGCGAATATATGTAATTCCACGAATTTTTGAGGTCTTTTTTTTAGTACTCTGTAATGAGATTATGAAAGACCTCAGATCAGGCAAAATCCGAGAAGGCAGCTCATTTAGGCACACTAATCCACGCACTAATCATCTTGAATGCAATATTCCACATTTAGATTTAAGGCTCAATTTGCATTGCCGCGGAACGGAATAGAAGCTAATTTTTCTAACGAAATTATGCATAGCTTTAACGTCAGTTACATAACGTACGAGCTAAATACGATACGTTAGCTGCGTGAATCGCCGAGACTGTGCGAATTCTCCGTAAGACGCGTGACGTGTTTTTGACTCGTATTTATGTAGGTATGTTAGATAATTGACGTGAACTTCATTAATTTATGGTTACATTGGCTTCCATCCCGTTCTGCGGCGATGTTAATAGAGCCTAACTTAATTTCATAGTAAACATGTTAAAGCTCCACAACATACAATTTACCCTTGTGTGTCATACATACATTATATTTAGAAAGTAAAAATATGCTGTAATATCAAATAGTTTCAATCTAAGAAGATGGAAAAAACATAGATTTTAAAAAAGGAAGTTTTAATGATATTCTGTGTTTCTAAGAAGTTGATATTTTATTTTTACTTCGGCTTATGTCAATGTCAAAATACATTTTTTAATCTTTCTCACTGTACTATTCATCAGTAAAATTTAGTCCACAATGTATTTGCAATCCATCTAATATCTACTATATTATACTCCAACAGCAATTCGGAATAAAAAAACCAAAAATGAATTAACGTTAACGGTATTATTATTTTTGTACTTACCCTTAAAAATATAAAAATCCATCATCATTTAAGTCTGAGATCACTGGTCGTATTGGTAAGAAACATAACACATGAAAAATATGAAATATTTTTAAACCATATATTCTTCTAACAGCAGCCATGGCACAGCAAGATGTGAAAGAACTGGACCAATTTCTTGAGAAAGGAAACAACCAATTTACCGCAAAGATGTACTGTGAAGTGATAAGAGCTAACCCATGCAAAAATATGGTAATGTCTGCATTTTCTGCGTTGGTTCCTTTGGCCCAACTTAGCTTAGCGTCTGAAGGCGCATCCCATGATGAGCTTCTTCAAATCATTGGTCTCCCCAACGACAACACTACAAAAGTTGTATTTAGTAATCTAAATAAAAAGTTACAAGCTATAGAAGGAATTGTGCTCAAAACAGCTAGCAAAATATATGTTGCTGTGGCAGCTGAATTAAATCCAGAATTTTCTGCTGCGATAAAAGACATCTTCAATTCCGAAGTGGAGAATGTAGATTTTTCGAAGAACACCGAAGCAGCAAACAAAATGAATAGGTGGGTTGAAAACCAAACCGACCATCGTATTAAAGATTTAATATCTGCTAATGATTTAGACGCCAATATCAGCAGCATTCTTCTAAATGCTATTTACTTCAAGGGTAATTGGAACGAACCCTTCGAGAAGGAAAAGACAAAGGAAGAAGACTTCCATGTCTCCAAAGACCAGACTATCACGGTTCCAATGATGCATAACAATGCCAAATTCCTATATGCTAACAGCAGTGAATTGAACGCTCAATTATTAGAGATGCCTTATAAACGACATGAAGCCACTTTTATCGTGATTTTGCCCAACGAAGTGGACGGCCTTACAGCTCTCGAAGAAAAACTCGGAGATCCTGCTGCTTTGGATAAAGCCGTGTTACAAATGAAGATTTATGACGTCAATGTATCTCTGCCCAAATTTAAAATTGAATCCAAGATTGATCTCAAGGATATCCTTGAAGAAATGAAAGTGAAACGTATTTTTGACCCTAAACAAGCCCAATTAAATCGTTTGTTGAAGAACCAATATGAATTATATGTGAATAAAGCCATCCAAAAGGCATTCATTGAAGTCAATGAAATAGGTACCGAAGCAGCTGCTGCTAACGAATTTGAATTAATGGTAGGTTCGGGACCACCCGCTCCTAAATCATCATTTATTGCCGATAAACCGTTTTACTACGGTTTGAATATTGGTCATACAACTATACTTTCAGGAAGATATACGGGTCTTTCTACGAATGACCAAGATTCCTGTTCGTGCCGTTAGTAACTGAGATAGGTAAGGTTATCAATCTACATGTGCATTATCACATTTCCATAAAATACATAATTTCTATTATAATTTCTGCCTTATTTAAAATTATATGTATTTTATAGTTGGGGAATTAACAGAAAGGCCCAATCAAAGTCGCCAAAGTTGCACAATACATTTCATTTTGAATTGGCCTAGTGGCCTTAAGCGCGTTACCCAACGTAACTCTTTACTAGCGTAAAAAGGTCTTATCTCTTGTTTTATTTTAATAGGTTTATGTTTCACCAGAGTCGCACCTAGTGATAAGTGTAGATATGTTTACTGTAAAATATTCGTTCCATATTAGGCAGTTTTATGTTTAGCAAATAAACAGTATACTATTTCAAAATGAAAAAAAAACTTATTATTTACGAAATTAAGCAACATCTACATTAAATCAAATTCTTAGGTTTTCGGGATTGCTACACATAGGAATTGAAACTATTTATTCGGAACTTTATTTTATACTCACATTGATTCGGTAATATTCTGGTTTTTGATTAATTTGTATATTATTTAATCATTAATGTAATAATTATTTCCATTTCGTTGAATACATTATGATACAAATACATATTGGCATGAAGGCGCGTTGTTGATGATACATTTTCGTAAATAACTATTTAATTTGAATTTTGGCACAGTCGACTATGATACTTAATCTATTAATTGATTAGTCTTGTTTTAACGCGCGTCATGTGCTCGCGGAAACGAGATGGAAATTGTTAAGCACGTGGTAGCACACTAATTACCTCCGCCGCTCTATCTTTTACCAATTATTAAATAATACATGATATACTTACCGAATAAATTTGAGTAATTTTGAATTTAACGCGTAAGTCCCCTGCTAGAATTTTCGAAAATGTTCAAATAATGACATTGGTTTATATGAATGTTTTTGGCTTTGTGTACTTATATAATTTTTTTCGCGATATTTCATTACTTGGCTCTACTTTGGCATTATATTTAGTGCCGGGCATTTCAACCCAGCGCGGCCTAAACGCAGCGTTACGTTTAGGCCACGACGCTTGCAATGCCGGGTAGAGTATGTCCACGTAATGTTCGATCAATGTTTTCATTATTTGGCTCTAGTTTGGGATTATATTTAGTGCCGGGCATTTCAACCCGGCGCGGCCTAAACGCAGCGTTACGTTTAGGCCACGCCCCTCGCAATGCCGGGTAGAATATGTACACGTAAAGTTCGATCGATGTTTACCTAAAACTGACGTATGTACCTCTTATTTGAGATTTCACATTAACCATTTTGTTGCTTTGTTTGTAACTTTTAAATCCAATTTGAAATTAAAGAAAATTCCTCTTTGACTAGAAAAGTATGTATACCAACCAAGTGGTTGTATACCAACAGCAGTTCGTCAGGGCCACACCGATCATGTTATATGGCTAAATACGTAGCGTTTGCCACTCTAGCCCCAACAGGTAGATGAAATGCCGGTCATTTTGATGCACCACGGCGAAGAACGTGTTTAAATGTATGTTCCCGCAATTAGCGAAGTGTGACCAACACACCGATGTAAATAAATAAATACATCTCAAAGAGTACCACATCTGCGTCCGACATCTCAAACAATTAATAACGAACTAAGGCCGGCGACATACAGTCGGAATCCCGTTTCTACAAAATTTCGAAGGCAGCAAACCCATATAAATCACGGAATTATCATACACATACAGTACTATTCAATTCAAATTTTTTTTTCAATTCGAAATTCCTTATGATTGCTTGTGCATTTGGAATTTCGCACGGAAAAAGCCGTTCCGAATGCAAGTCTTCCACAGGATTCCGTACGTATTACACACAGTCGTAAATTCCGCACGTATTTTCGCTGGGAGAACATCTGGGCTCAATGCGTCGCGTCTCTCAGTTGAGTTTTGTTATTCCGAACGGAAATAAACGTGTGTGATGTATTATACGGAAGCTCGAATCGATATTCCGAAACGGAATTACGACTGTATATGGCCTGCCTAAGTGTGAGGCCAGACGAGCGTAGTTTCGTGAGTTGTGAGTCGCGTAGTTTGCGCTGCATTCGGTCTCATATAAAAAAGGGTTTTTTTACACGACGACGCAAAATGAGTTATCTGCCGACTCACGGGCTTAATGACGACTGCCTTTCGGTCGCATCGTGCAGCGGGCTGGCGCGGGTGGAGGTAGGGGTGAAGGAAGGGGTCACTTTGGTATAAACGCTTAAAAAGCTACTGAATAAAATACGTTCGTTTGGCGCTCCAACCGAGTTTCGGTCGAGTACAAACTGTGCAACTCAGAAAACGCAACTCACAACTCACAAAATTACGCTCTTCTGGCCCCACCCTAAATTAGTTGTGCAGGCATCGCGACTCATTAGAACACAGTACAGTGCTTCTATTTTCTCAATGTTCCTTGGCAAATTTCGTGTTTCGGCTGTCATCGGGTTTTATTCAGTTGCCCTTTGCCTTTGGTACAAAACGGAAACTTTCGGTCTAATAGGAAGTATATAGAGTTCCTGTCACATTTATTTATTATACAATGGGAGGAAAGCCGCTAATGAACAATTTCATAATAATACGTGTTCAAGCAGCGCGGAAAGTGATTATTCCATCGATGGCGAACATACTAACATAGCTATGTCAGATGAAGAAATGCGTTCAGGTACGGACTGAATTGAACTTAATAATAAGCGGAAAAATATTCATTTTTAGTTATATAAAAACTTTACACATATTGACATGGAGTAAAGTTATTAAAAATGGGGAAATAATTTTACTGCTTTATATAGTTCACACGGAAATCAAAACAATGATAAAGTACGTCGTTCAAAATTCAAATTATTATAGAAGTAGTTTCTTAATTGGGCGTGGAAATTAATATTCGTGTGCATTCGGAAATCCGATGGTTGACGAGAGACATTCGAGAAAATAGAAGCACTGTATAGGTAAGTATTGAGCATGTACTGAGCGACGCATCTATGCTAGTACATTATATATCGTTGCATACAAAGTTTTTGGGATCTAGACAAATATGTATATGTCCGGTAAAGCTAATGTTGCTTAGTTCTTCCAAATTAGATTTTGATATTTCTCGAACTAAATATTGTTCTCACGGACATAAGCGAGTTAAATAAAAGACCTTATAACCAATTACAATTTTAATCTGAACAATCATCATCATCATCATCAAGATGTTACTAGGACATGTAATAAGAGTTATTAGATCTCCATTGTCTAAAAAAATCTAAATACATTTCTATTCTAAACTAAATATAATGAAACTATAATCTATCAAAAACACTAATAATTGCATGTCAAAATTATTGCATAGATTCAATTATGTATATAAGGTATCAATTCATATTACGTATATAAGCTTTTGTTACAAATTAATTCCACTCGAAAGATGTGTAAGAAATTTAGGCTTATATCTTACATATGCATGCAAGTATTTGGGTAGTAAAAGCAATTTGCTCTCATTTTAATTTTCATATATACGAATTATTAAAAAAGTACGGCCACTACATAAGCATTTGCTGTTGCAATCCAAATACACCACTATTATAATGCTTTTTGGCAATCGTTTTTTGGGTCACTCTGGATATTGTCACCGGTCGTCTGATGCAAACCGCAGTCGCACGTCTCGCGACTAGGTTGACAACCTTTAATACACTTATGTTGAACTGCAAATGTATTTAAAATAAAATTACTATTACTTCGTTTAAACGATAACGGAAATAAAAATACGAAATCACAATTACTACAATTATTACGAGAACACACACGTCGGTCACTCATCATGGCTTCAGGGCTCATTGAAAACCAGCGCCACAATCAGTTATGGCTGTGGCTTATGCTGAATGAAGTCGTTTTGCGTACGCCACAACCGCATTTGTAGTCGTCATATTAAATTTTTTCCTTTTTGTCAGTTTTATTTATTTTATTTTGTTTTATTGCATTTTTTATTTTGGTTATTGATTCTTTTTTTTTGTTTCGCTTCTCTGTGTTATCAATATACTTTTTTTGTATCTATGTATTGTGGCGTTGCAATAAATGTATATTCTATTCTAAAATGGGGTTCTCAATAGACTTTGACACCGATTGGACTTGTATAACCCCAGGCAAACAGATTAGTTTTATTAGATAAACTTTTAATGTAATGTGTCTGTATTAGAATATTATTAAAATAAATACCAGCATATAGCAATAACATTACGCACCTAGTTCTTTAATAATAAAAAGTGACGGTGGTGGTTTGCAAGGAATGCAAGGCTTTTTGAATACTTGCGCTGGAATTTCCTCCTGTATAACACATATAAAAAGTTAACAACATAATTGTTTAACAATTTTAATTGAATTGATATTCAATTATTTTTTGTGAAATTACTCCACTAGTTTGTTATAATTATTAATACAAAGATCGAATACTAAGTTTTTTTCCGATTGTTCGATCTTTGTATTAATAATTATAACATAATTGTAATTTGATTCAATTTCAGTGTACCAAGTATTTTTTATTTTGTGCTAGAGCAACGAATAGACTTCTAGGACTATATAAAATTAGACAGGGCTAGTCATTGTGTGTGGTCATTTTTTAAGGCTCAGTTTTATGATAATATACTTATTAGAATAGGCTTATAATTACAAGAATCGCCAGTTTGAAAATACAACCGTTTCTTGCTTAGTAGCGAGCCGATGGACACTGCGTCTAAGGGTCGTATTCTAGAACTCTACTCAATGCTCAAGTCAGGATTGCACTGGAAACACAAGCACTGGAAATACGACCCTAATGGAAGGGACTTGAGTATGATTTCGAGTGCTTTAAACCATACTCAAATCCTGACTTGAGCATTGAGTAGAGTTCTAGAATACGACCCTAAGAGTATCAGTATTTGGAAAATATTTCCGAATATTTTATACAAACAAGAAAAAAACCTATAATGGCTCATTGCGGGGTATAGCTGTCGAAGAGTCAAAAAATAAACCGACTGAACAGTTTCATTGACATTTTTATAAGATTACGTTTGATCTCATTTTGTATCCCTCACGCGCCCTCTTATGAAAACCGAATCGAAAGGTTAACAAGTAACTTTTGGACCCTGTATGTGGCTCTTGGATCGACTTTGGACATCATCTTCAAAGTTTCAAAATTCTGTGACAATTTCATTTATCCTGTCTGCTTTTTTCCATTAGCCATTCCTCGCGTTTCGGCAAATTAGACAACATTGAAACCAGCAAATACAAGGTTATCTTGATGGTGATTAGTTAGGTTCAATTTATATTGCAGCGGAATGGAATGGAAGCGATTTCTTGAAATGATATCGTACATAGCATAATGAACTTTATGGTCAATCGTGTAACGTACAAACTAGATACGAGCCAAACTCTTCATCGGAACGCGCGAGCGTTTTAAGATTTTCGCTCGTATTTAGTTTGCACGTTCATTACATGTACAATATCGTTACAAAAAATCGCTTCCATTCCAATATAAATTAAGCCTAACCATTGTCTATAGAAAGCATGTATAATGCAGTAAATGCGTATCCGGCAATGGGATAGGAGCACATCTGATATCAATCTGGAGAACTGGAAACTGTGTTGGTTTGCGAAAGAAATAAGAACATAGCTTAGTACCAGACGGTTTTTGGCACATAGACGTGAATTTACTACTAATTAACAGAGTCACCACATTTATCGACACGGAATTGTATTAAGCAGGCAAGAAAAAGCTTTATGAACACAAAGTAATGTAAAGGTGGGTGGATATCCATTAGGTTCGCGCACTAATTCTGCTCCGCGCATCTGTAACCGCTCGAATGGAGACGTTTCGTGCATCACTATAAAAAAACTAAGTGTGCCACCGGTTCGCGCATCTGTAATTGCTCCACAGTTTTCATTTGAATGTTGAGCGAACACGAATGTTGTTTTGCTTGCGTCCACGAACACACTGCAGTTCCCTTTGTGTTCGCGCAAAAACCGCCAACGCGCGGAGCACTCTCCGCGGAGCGTGGAACGTTGCAAGCAACATTGCCTGTGAACGTATTCACTAATGGATACCCACCTTAAAAAGTAGCGAAAAGGACGTTGTGCGTTTGACGTTGGCTGTCCTAACGAAAACGTAACGCGCAACGCTTTTTCAAAATTTTTTAAAACTTTTATTTCCGGCTCAAGCCGATTCCTTGTTGTTTACTACTGTGGTGAGTCCCCAACGTTTATTTTAACCCGTTAATAAATAGTACCTTGTCTAATCGAGTGCCAAATATCATCATTTTCGATGGAGATAGACTCAGTGAAAGGTCAGGGTGTTTCGGCAATTTTCCTCCGCAAATTTTGGAACAAATCTTTCCTCTGTAAAATTATAAATATGATTGTTAAGCGTATCTCTACAGAATTGTATGACTAACAGAGACATTGTAAATTGATCTTAGCAATAATAATTAGAATTACGTACACATAATTGCGTACGTTGGGAGTAATTATATAATTATTTATTAGATTTATCATATTGTGTTTTTTATATTTAAACTTACGCACTTAAATATTTAAACGGAAAACACAGGAAACTTATTTACACTAAAATTATCATAAGCGTTTAGTAGTAGTTAGCTATCAAATCACTGCTGGGAAATTGGGACTCTATCATGAAATTTGTTTTTCTCTATCTCTCTATCATGAAATTTTTTGTGAACTTATTAGACTCAGTTTTGATTGACACGTATTGTTGTTAAACGTCATATTATTATGCTCGATGTTAAAGGCATTGATTTTAGCACCGGTCAAACCTTCAAACTTAATATAATCAATAGCTAGTAACAAATAGTCCCATCATATTCGTTATAAACAACAAAGTCTTAAGCGAAATGACAAGTTTACTAATTCGTGTAGTTTTATTATGAATAATAATTTTCCATTTGTATCTTGTGAATGTCATTTTCATCATCAATGTTATCTACTTTAATAATTATATCAAATGTGTACCTCGGATCAATGGGATGACGTATCGGTGCGTTAGGATAGCAAACGATTTCATCATCACGCAGCCCTGTATTGTCAGCGTCTCCTTTTTTAAATCCAATTTTGTCTGGTGTGGTTTTTACGGGAGGCAGAGCTTTTAATTCAGGCATGCTCAAGATATCTCTTGCGGGTAAATGGCAAGATATGCAGGTTTGGTTGCGAAGTATTTCCCTGTGCTCATTGTATTTTTGTTCAGGACCAGCTATTTCCATAAAGTAATCTATTCGCCGCTGCAGCATATCTACATTAAATTTAATATCTGCTGTCACGAAATCCGTTTGTTTCACATCAGATTTAAAATTTAGTATTCTTATAAGGTCGTCAATCACTTTCTGTAAAATTAGATTATTAACGATTTCACCTTGTTATGTTGTCACTGTTGTCTAACTGCTGTATCTGAGTGAGGGTGTTACCACAACTCTCATGTACCTGTAACACTGCACATGGTCACATTACTGCTTGGCGGCAGAAATAAGTGAGGCGGCAGTACTTCCCTGGACGATTTCTTTCACAAGGTACTCTACTGCTACTAACAATAGTTCAATAAGCTATGGGTTACAAGGTAAATTGAGCTTATCTTAATTTAGTAGAATTAGACGTCAATAAACATATAAAGACGAAATATGCAATTACATTACAATTTACACGGTATATGGTTTATTTAAAAACTAACAAGCAAATATTACCTGCCAAATTGTTTCTGTGGCATTGAACTTATCGTACGCCTGGATGATACGTTTTTGGAAATCGCCACGCACTGCTTCCAAGTGCGTTACAGTCATAATGCCATTCAATTCTTCTATACCAGCTTTCTCTTTGAGCTTTTCCGTGACTTCGTCGCGATTGCATTTTGTTTGATTCAGAACTTTCAGTTGCAACCAGATCGACTAAAAACCAAACTGAGGGATTTATATCAATACTTTTATTGAGGTATGAATAAACTAATCAACGTAAGGTCCATGTTTATCCGATACGGAGGGAAAGTGCTTTAAATATTATAGATAGGACATTTTGCTTTAAGGAGCCATTTTTAAAAGTAGCTGAGGATCGAATCGACCAAATGTGAACAAAAACCATCCAGTATTTTTATGATGCCGAGACGAATAAGTCGTGAGCCTGGTGGTAAGCGACACGTCTGTCCATAATGATCCACAAAGATCTGAAGAACACTGCCACTGCGCAGGCCACCCTGAGCCATAACGGTACCAGAAATATCAATTAACGTAAGGAAAATTTTGTCGAAAATGAGTTACATATATCATTGGATTCGGAAGTTCCCGCTCTGTCGATTGGTATTATTAAAATTAAAGAATAAACAGTTGTTTAAAATATAGCATGTCCCTTACATTAAAAAACATTTAAAAAAATGTTTAGTTGTGACTGCTGTTACTAATATTTTATCTGCAAACCGTCGAGCATAATGTAAGCAGGAAGAGAAATAGAAAATTATACGTACCTAATTCTATTGTAAAGGATACTCGATCGAGTATACTCGACGGTTTACACATAAAGTATTACTAACGTAACGCACAACTAAATATCTTTATTAACGTAAGAGACATGATATGTTTTAAACCACTGAGCATTCCTAAATCTTTCGTTTATAGCATGAAAGAAGAGGAATTCTAAGAAATTTTGCAATCACAATCAAAATTAGAGCAGACAGTAAAAAGTTATAGACAGATTTAAAAAAATAAAATAGTTTTTTGGCTCTCCTGAATAAACGCGGTTTGTCCCTTACATTAATTAATACTTCTGGTATCGATAAGTTGACAAGTTCCATGTGCCTGTAATTTCACTAGCACCTTTACCTTTCAAAACCGGAACACAGTAATGCTCACATTACTGCTTGGCTGAAATAAGTAAGGTGGCAGTACTTCCCTGGACGAAATATTTCACAACGAGCTCTACAGCTACTCATTACAAGGAATAAGTGTATAGTATCTGAAATCCTGTTTATAAAAATGAATTTATGTTTGTTTGTCCCGTATCGTTCCATTTTTATTCATGAAATTGTGATAAAACTTTCGTGAGTTGTGCGTTATTCATGCGTTTGCAAATGTTTCAAAAATATTAGATCCCACAGCTGGGTACGGGATTCCTATGTGGAAAAGTCAAGGCCATAACCCATCACGCTGGTCGAATGCGGGTTGGAAATTTTATACGTATTTAGTGGCATTGCAACGTACAACTAGTATTTTATGATTCAGTGTCTATATTAATTTGATATGATAAATACACAACAAAAGTTAGAACCAAAAATCCAGCTTCGGCCAACATTGTATAATATAATATCAAGTATAAAACAAGACAGGAAACTTAAAATTAATTTGAACTAAAATTGTAATCAGAGTATATCATGCTTGAAGAATATGTTGAATGGCCTTCCACTAATGTTTTTTATAATTCCGAAATGGTCTTGATTTGATACTTATCACTATAAAATCTGATAATTTATTTGAACAGACGCCACATTCGACTCTCTATAAAAATATTTTGCTATGTTATATGGATGATTAAAACAAATCCAACGATACTATAAATTGATTAATTCAGATTGTTTGTGTTAACATAATATACACCCATATGTACAGTCAACAGCACATCAAGCTTTACACTTTTGTTCAAATATTGCACCCAAACCAGCAGAATAAGATCCGACAACGCGTCACCATCCCCCGCATCCCACACAGCGCGTCGTAAGGAGTTGGTAACTACCAACCCCGCTCGCGCTCCGACCGCCTACTTGCTGACACCCATACTAGTTCGGAGACAACAATTAGTACATACTATCAATACACGCAGTCAGTAGTCAAAAACAAGTCACTAGAACAAGCGTTTCATTTCAGATCCTGAGCAAGAACCTGCATGAATACAGTCCACAGATCAAGAACACCGAATATCTTCGATGCTAGAAGAGCCGCATTATCGACAATATCTCTATACATAATACACGCAGCTAATATAACAAGTCTTATTTGATTCTGCCTTATTCGAATAATAAATAGGTAAGGGATATTCACATCGCCGGTATGGGTCAGTTCGATACCAAATGTGATAGTGTTCTTATGGCCAATCTCATTCAGGCAGGTACATTTTAAATATCTAGGGTCAACTTACATTGAGATCAGCTCCTAACTGTTTTTGAGCAGCACTAAGTTCCTTTTGTAGGCGTAGAGTTCTGTTTAAATCCATGGCTAGTATGGACAATTTGCTATTCATGTCCGCCACAGCTAAAATATTTAAAATCCGTTATATGCAAGTGATGAAAGCAAATCTTAAACTATTATTGCCTCATCTCCGCATTTGCGGGAACTATGGTAGGAGCACTTAACAAACAACCACTTCTACTTTGTGTTAACCAACAGCTTATTAACTTGCTTAAAACCTATTTTGAAACAAATCATATAGTATATTATTATAACTTTATGATGTACAGTACAAATCGCACCCCTCACGGAAGAATGGCATAAGTGGAGCTACGTCAAACATGTTTATTACTCTATAAGATACAGACAAATATAACCCATATCCTTTCCAATTCTCTGTAACTCTAACTACAATTTAGTCGATTGAATTAGAGAGGATAACCCACATGGGTTATATTTTTCTGTGTTTGATGGAGCAATGAACGTTTGTTACGTAACTCCACTTATTATCTTCTATGACAATTTCGCGAAATATATTATTGTTATTATTAGCTTATCTCTCGGTATTTTTTAGATTACAGATTACCATAGGTCGCTAAGTCGAGTGTGGCGCGCCCGCGGGGTACAGACGTTGGAGGGGACGAATTGACACGACGCGTGCGTACACAGATATAAGCGATCAAAATGCGTGAGATCTGTCTTAAGATAATATGCTATATAAGGCAGTGAAATTAATAAGTAAAACCAAGATACTATCTTTATTATTATATGTATAAATTAAGTTTTACCAGTATTTGTTTAAATTAAAAATAATTTTATATTTATTAATATTAATAAAGAGGCAAAATTTGCTTATTTTTTTATGTAGAATAATCTCGGGAACTACTGAACTGATTTTAGTAATTATTTCATTGATAGAAAGCTACATAGTTGCTGAAGTATATTGGCCATATTTTACTTTGTGTCAATATTTATTATTTTACGAAATCTACTTGGGCGAAGGGCGGAGGGCGGTAAGCCAGTAATTTATAAAATCTTATGTTAATTTATAATATTATTGGTGTAATAATAATTACGTCAACTAATAGAAACTCGACCACAGCCGAAATATGAAGATTGCCGAGAGATATTAAGAAATAGTTGTATACACTGTAGTAATATTTTAACTTCCTGTGACGTATCATGTGACAGTGGCTAGATTTTAAGGAACCTCACAAACATTTTATATATTTATTTACTGGGATTGTTGATATAAAATCCAAGTGTAGCGATACAATCGCCTATAAATTTCAAGTGTAGCGATGCAATCACGCGTTTGTATCGGTGCAGTCGCGCGTTCGCATCGCTATTAAAATCGCGCACGTGTGTAAACGTAGACTATTAGCGACTACATCGCTGCTAAAAGCCGACGAGTGTAACCGCTCTTAGTGGTTGTTTATTGAAGAACTTAATATGTGTCTGTTAAGTATATGTTAACGTCTTTTGAGACGAAATAAATGTGTAGTTTTCCCATCCAGTTAAATAAAGGTATTGCCGAAGCTTATTCACTTGTAATAGAAAATGATTATAAATAAATAACATTTTACAGTATGTTAAAAAATTACATAAACTGTTGGTATTTTATTACAATCACTGAAATGCTTGAATCAGTGATTTCTGGTTTTCTGGGCAATTTCATTTATATATACGTTTGAGTTATCTTGGCTACTATAAAATGTTTATCAAGATTTATTTGTTACCCTCCGGGTCGCCTGTTTGGTTGGAAAGACTTTCGGCCAAATTATCCAGAGCCACTTCTAGGTCGTACTGCATTGAGCTCAAATTTTCTTGGAATCCGGTCATCTACAAATTATAATTTATAATTTTCTATTTGTCTCTTTAAAATTAATAATAATATAATTTTTTCATGTTGTTCCTATTTATGTTTAAAAGCAAATTTACGAAATATAAACTTTTCAAGAACTAGGTCTTAAAGTCCTATAAATAGCACATTTCGGTGTATTTTATACTCGTCGACGACGACGCGCTATAGCGAATCGATTCAAACGTGCACAAACGTCGCATTGCAAGCAAGCAGCTTATAATATATTCTATTGGATTTCTAACACCATGCGTGATATATACGCGTGACTACAGCGCGTTTGTGGCGCGACTCTAAGAGTATAATGGTTTGGAGTCTAATAAGAACAACTATAATAATTGTATGAAATACTGCAAAAAATAATTCATTTATTTTAGTTTTAGCATTATACAGAGGGTAATTTAGGGTCTTTTGTAAGGTATTATATATCATTTCGTAAGCAAAGAAATTTAATAAGTCTCAACTCACACTGGCGCAGAGTCGAAGCGTCGCGACGCGTCATGTTTTTAGCCTATAGTATATTCATCTCTACTTACCCATTATTAAGGTACAGATTAGTGTTATGCAAACATGGGAACGGGCCTCGACGCTTGGTTGCAGTCGAGCGACATCGCGCGTCAGTCGAGCGCAGTGAGGCGTCTGACGCCGACCACTCTGTGATCCGGGCGCACTAATGCGCGTCGACGCGCGTCGCCAACCGTTGTAGTTGAAAAACAGGATGCGACGCGACGCTTCGACTCTGCGCCAGTGTGAATTAAGCCTAAATATCGCAAATATTAGGTCCTTACCTATAAAATTGCCGCTTGCAAATACTGGGAAATTTTAAGATTTCATTTTACTTAGAGTTTCAAATCAAATTATAGTTTTAAAAGCTATGCTATTTCTTTTAAAAAAACCGGTTATTCATTCATCTGTCGTTCGATTTTTTAAATTTAGCTGTTTCTATGATCGTAATATATAAATCGAAATTGCGTATTTTTTCGAAAATAAGTTCTGTCGTGGCACCAACGCAGCACAACGATATGTATGGACCGTTAACGCAAGTAAGCGCACAGTGCGTTTTTGGTTTGGTCGCTTCAATTCTGGAAATTATCTCAACAATGAGCCCCGTGGCTGACCTGAGACGAAAGTCGATAACGATGAATTGAAAGCTATAGTGGAAGCAGATTCATCTTAAACAAAGTCGTAATTAGCAGCAGCCTTCAACGTAAGTGATAAATAGATATGGATTAATTTGCGTCAAATTTAAATAACAAAAAGCTAACGAAGTGGGAGCCGTATGAACTCACTGAACAACAACAACTTGATCGCGTCGAAGCTTGCCTTAGCTTGTTGAATAGGCACTCAAATGAGGGGATTCTGTATCGGATTGTCCCTTGTGATGAAAAGTGGATCTCTTATGACAATCGAAAACGTTTTTCGTACTGGTACCACTTGGGGCAGCCCAAGGATGTCCCAAACGTAAAGTAAGTCAAAAGAAGCTGCTTGTGAATGTATTGTGGACCTATACAGGCATTGTTCATTACAGCTTCTTGAGACGTGGCACAACAATTACTGTAGAGGTATACTGTGAAGAATTGCAAGTGATGATGGACAAGCTGGCTGTCAAACAACCGAGACTTGTCACTTCCTATACTCGACTCCTTCTCCACGACAGCGCTCTCCGGACCTCCTCAAAACTTACAAGAGTTACGACTGAAAACTCTCTGTCACCCAACATACTCACCAGACCTTGTTCCATTGGTTTAATTTTTTTTTTCGGAAATTGGATAAGTTTTTACAGGCAAAAAAATTTCAATTCCTATGAGGCGGTAAAAATGCCTATAAATAAACAGTTCATCGATTCCCGTCCGCAGCATTTCTATAGCAGAGGCATCAATGATTTCCGTTAAAATGGCAAAAGTACATTGACTATAATGGTCAATATTTGGATTTTTTTTAAATAAAATATAGGTACGCATTTGACCTCCATCTCACCTGATGGAAAGTGACGATGAGGTCGACGATGGAGCATGCACACCTAAATAATGCCTATTCACTCTCGCCTTGAAAAGGTCCAAGTTATAACGTTCAGGGAACAAGTCTGCAGGCACGGAATTCCAATGCATAGCCGTTCGCCATATAAATGTGGAAGCGTAACGCTTCGTGCGAACCTTTGGAATATCCACAACATAGGTGTGGAACTCAAGCCTACGCCTAGTCCCCCGGTGATGGAAAAAGAGGAAGGCGGAATTAAATCGTGTAATTCCATCGCACACTCTCCGTGATATATCCTGTAAAATATCGATAAGCAGGCAACTTTACGGCGGTGTTCAAGGCTTTGCAGCTTCGCTAGCAAGGCTCTACTAATTCCGAGTCACCTATAAGCCTCTTGACACGGTTGTCAACTGAATCCAAAGTGGCCAGTTGATATGTAGCAGAGCCATCCCAAAGGTGGCAGCAGTACTCCATGCACGATCGAACTTGTGCTTGATACAGCTGAAGCAACTGTCCCGGTGTAAAGTAACGCCTCACCCTGGAAAGGATCCCAAGCTTCCTTGCTGCATTTTTGGCCATGGATTCAATGTATGTGCCGAAGTTCAAATTGGACGACAGGTTAATTCAAGTAGCTGGAGACAATCGGCTATCGGTATGGATGTATCACGAAAAGTCGAAGTCAGCTCAAAGGGACTCCGTCTTGTGGAATAGACACGCCTGCGTTTTGGTAGCGTTAAATTTGACATGATTGGCATTGCCCCAATCGGAGACTGCCTGATCTATCGCCATATGTTCGGAAGAGTAGCCTTCTAAGACCACTCGAATCGAACGTTCACTCAAGAAATCCGAGATCCAATTACAAAGGTCAGTGGGAAACCCATAAGAGGGAACCTAATTAAAGGGCTTGCGTGCCAGACCCAGTCAAAGGCTTTAGAAATGTTCAAAGACACTGCAAGTGCTTCGCCTTGCTTTTCTATAGCCTCGCTCCATATATGATAGGCATACACAAGAAGATCCCTAGTTGATCGCCCTCGTCGGAATCCGTACTGGCGATCACTGAGGAGGTCGTTGTCTTCAAGGTACAATAGGAGACGGTTGTTGAGTAGACGTTCCATCGTCAAGCAGAGTATGGAACTGTGAGAACGGAGTGACTGAGACAGGTCTATAGTTGACAGGGTCAGCTCTGCTTCCCTTGTTTGGCACAGGTTGCACGTTTGCAAGCTTTCACGACCTGGGAACTACACCAGTCTCAAGTGAAAGGCGGTACAGGTGTGTGAGAACAGGGGACAACTCAGGCGCACAGTTACGCAGGGCTAGTGCTGGAATTCCATCTGGCCCGCTAGCTTTATTCATGTCTAGATTTCGCTGAGTTCTAAGTACCTTTTTTTGGCGTATGCGAACTGGCGCCATATTGCAGCCAGCCTGAGGTAAAGTAGGTGGTAGGGTTCCTGCGGCATCCAGACTCTCTGCAAAGAATGAGGCAAAGAGATTCGCCTTCTCTTCCGCAGTATGAGCCAGCGAGCCATCGGGCCTCAGCAGAGGTGGCAAAGATGGGCGACAAAAGTTAGATTCGACCGCTTTGAACAGGGACCAAAAGGTTTTGCTGCCTGCTGGATAAGAGGCAAGCTTAGCCCCTATGCGGCGCACATGGTTGAACTTGGCCCTAACTAATATGCTTTTGCACTTCTAGGCGGCCTTATTAAAAGCTTTCTTCAAATTCTGAGTACTCGGAGCTTTGCGTAGTCGAGCATCTGCCCAAGCTTGGTACGCGGACTGTTTATGTGCTTCAGTACAACTACAATCAGCGTTAAACCATGGACGAGCTTGGGGTCCATTGGGTACATCAAATGTGGTATGTATCCTCCATACCCAAACGCAAGACCTCGACTACATCATCAGCACAGCTCGACGAGTCTCCTGATGTAAAGCACGCCTGCCAGGGATATGACGCAAAGAAATGGCGCATTTCATCCCAATCTGCTAACTTGTATTATCGCTACACCCGTCTCATACAGTTTTCACCAGACAATGATCGGAAGTACCCAGTGGGGCATCCACAACCACAGAGTATCGGTCCGGATCAGTTGTTAGCAGAAGGTCCAAGCAATTAGCCGTATGAGATTCAACATCTGGTATCCTAGTGGCACACTGACAAGCTGGAATAGGCTTAGCGTTAACGCAAGTTTACGCGTCTCTCGCTCAGCGTGATCGGTCTTCTGGTATGGGAACAACCATTCTTGATGGTGTGCATTAAAATCCCCCAGAATGACTAGTTGCGCCGCTGGTTACCTATGCTGAATCTCATCAGACATCTCACTCAAATATTGGAACAGCTTGGTTGTCTCCTGATCTCCACTGTGCGATTTGTGCAACTCCTGTGACTACCAGAAGCCACGAAATGGAAAAACTCGGTACCTCAAGGTTCTTGAGACGCTCGACACAGATGTTATCGCGAACGTAGACACAGACTCCGGCACGAACCTGTGCTCCGGAGTATACCCGGGGTAGCTTAGGTACGCTGCGTCAGTCGGACATCTAATCTGCGCCTCTGTGAGAAACAGCAGCTGCGGTTTGTCGGTTTCAAGGTGGTAGTGGACCGAATCGAGATTTCAGTGCAGACCTCGGATGTTAGTGAGGTGCACTTTTAGTGGAATTAAATAAAATTAATTTTTTTTCAATGCTTTATATATAAAACGGCAATTTCATAGGTAACCTGATAATTAACAACATTCTCAAACATTATTTTTGTAATAATTACAATTTTTACTCATAATATTTACATAAGACTATTTCTCTTTACATACGTAATCCATTTCAAAGTCTTGAAACTATAAAAAACTTACAAGAAACAGAGGCTTTAAACTACGGAAACTTTTTATAAGTTAATAACATAATTATCATCGTGTCATTTCTAAATATCATTTGTCATCAATTGTTTTCCTCTAAGATTTGATAAATCAAATCGTCAAATATTTTCCTTTAATGTGATTTCTTGTCTGAAGAAAAGAGTTTGCTATCGCTGGTTCTTTGTTTACAGTTTTTCTATTTTTTAAAAAACGAAATATAGAATTGCAAAAAATTCTGGAGGGGTCAAAACAACAAAAATATCAGTCTGAGAATTTTAAAACATTTTATATACTCACAAGTGACGAAAATTCAGAGTCCATATTATTAACTTTTTCAGCAAACAAAGAAACGATGTCTTCTAATCCATCAACTATAACTTCCATTTCTAATATATCACTGATTTCCTGACCTGGTAAAAAAAAAACTACTGTGTTTGACTAGTCCTATTAGACCTATTTTATTGACGCACTGGATCGTATTACCACGGAATAAGACATATATTTAAAAAATCTAAGAAAAATCTTACTCATTTGTTTTGCAAGAATTTTTATAGCATTAGCTATTTTTGAAATTTTTCTCATCTTTGGGTCTGTTTCCATGAACATATCATCATAAAATTCTTGCAGTTCACCCCTGAAATTAATAACCACTTGAATATATGAAACGAAGGAAATCAATGGTTGATTAACCCTTCTTCTTGGGACTCCAGGTACAACATGTCTAGCCACTTGGAAAAGATATTTACTACCCGTTGAATTAAAGATAGTAAACTCACAGTAAATTGTCCATATCAATGAAATCACTATCCTTCATAACTTTGCCTTTTTCTCTTTTTAGGTTGGGAACATCATCAACGCTAGTTGTAGCTATGTTTTGTAGGTCGAAGTCAGTGGATTCACGGTATATTGCCATTGAACTTTGAAATGATAGTGAGTCTCTGGATAAATTCTTTGCCTCCTTCGCGTTTTCGTTCTAGAAGAAGTTAAATGTGGTGTAGTTGAATTATGTTTCACTGTATAAGTATGTATTTATGCTCGATTTGCAATATTAAATCTTGTAAATGTAAATTTGTGACGTGTTTAGAGTTAGTTAAGTACACGGTAAAAACAGATTACTTAGAAAAAGATAAAATTCTTTTTATGAAGACAAATTTATTAAATCCAACAAAACGATCCTCTCCCTATAGACGCTAGAGAATAATTACTTGATAATAGTAAAAAAACGTCTCAAAAGTGTATTTTAGTTGTAAGATACAAATATTTAATCCAAGAGCAAATTAATTTACTTCAAGTCACAAAGTTACTCTAGATTCAACAAAATATTTATTAGTTATTAGAAATGTCCGATTTTTGACTTGGAAAAAAAAAGAATGAAAAATTGAGAGGTACTTAATTCTTTGACTGAAGATTTACGTTTTCTAATGTCAAAAAGCGTAAATTTACAGGGTTATGGACCCAACAGTATGTCTCAATAGCGTGAAAGCACACAGTTTAGTGTCAAACCTAAAAGTAGCAGAAATAGGACAGAATCTTCTCAAAAACTTGAGTACCGTTCAGCGCCATATGAATGCTACAGCGACAGAAAGCACTTACAATTCAAAATATATGAGATGACTTAGGGTCGTATTCTAGAACTCTACTCAATGCAGGAATGCAATTGAAACACAAGCACTGGAAATACGACACTAACGGCAGGGACTTGAGTATGATTTCGAGTGCTTTAAACCATACTCAAATCCTGACTTGAGCATTGAGTAGAATTCTAGAATACGACTCACACTATTGAAGTTAACAAAACGATAGCGCGTTTCAGAGTACAACTAATGCCATCTAGCAGTGGCGCGATGGAACTAACTGCATGTTAAAGTTGTGCTTTGCTGAAACCAAATTTCTTAAATTATGACAACAAATAACACACTAACAAACTAGAGATACTGCGTATTGTTTCTTTGGATAAATGACTGTTTATGATTTTTATGATTACAAGCACAAGTAAAAGTAATCGTTACCGCTGGTGCATTCGGCGACATGTCAAGACAACATTGACTATGAAAACCGCAACGGAATGTTGCTTTAAAAATATACTCTAGAATTTAGAATATTAATCTGAATAGCAAACTACTTCTGTTTTCGTTTAAGAATATATTTTCTTAAAATCCACCAAAGAAATTTTTAATTCGTTTTAAGATTATTTAACTTTGATGTAAGAGGTAAAAATTTCTTAATGTAAGTCATGTCCAATTAATAGATTAGAAATGAAATAAAATCTTGAAGCGAAGGTATTTGTCTAAAAGTTAGAATAAGTTAAGAGTAAAATTGTATTAGAAAAAGGTAAGCAGTATTTTTGTATGGACAACATTTTATTACTTTTAATAAATATTTTTTCAGAATTAGCAAATATTTTGAGAAATTGCTCTTTCTTATTAGTAGAATTCCTTTTTTTCTATAGATGACTATAGACGAATGGTCACACTGATGCTGCTTCCACTTGTGTCATTCTGAAGTTATGTGGTCTGTTTAACTTATGGTCATCTATTTTCATAGATTTGGCTTTGGAACAATACCTTCTCTGTTTCCTTTTCCTTTAAATTTAAATGGACTTTTAAAATTTTAACCTTCATTTCTAAATCTAATGATATATTATATAATAAATATTATATAGGAATCACGAACGTTGCTCCAATCCCAAAGTAAACAGCCAAAGCACCTGCGTCATGGATATTGGAAACAACGACGATACCACAAACACAGATCCAAGACAACATAGAAAATTTTTCTACATTGACCCGGCCGGGAATCGAACCCGGGACCTCAGAGATGGCAACATCACGAAAGCCGGTATGCAAGCTACTCAACCAGAGAGGTCATCACCAACGAATTTATCTACATGATAGAATTTTTTTTTAAATTTAGCATTACAACAAAAAGATTTTTGAACATGATGAAAACATAAAACTCAAACTTTATACTGATACTCCAAAGATAATTAAATATTTTATTTACCAGAGAAGGTGTGAATAACTTCTGTCGTGGTGAAGTAGATGCTGGAGGTGGAGTAGATGGTGGAGGTGGAGGAGGTTGAGGAGTTGCTAAAGACGGTAGAGGTACAGGAGCTGGTGGAATTGTTTCAGGCGAAATACTTGGCATCACTGACGTCTCTACAGACTTAACAGCCTTTAATTCACTTGGTGTTCTGTTAGCTAGCTCTATGAGCAGTGTCGTCATATTCTCCAGATTTCTTTCAGCCTGTTCGAGACGAGCTGAGAGTTGTATTAAGGCCATGGGATCAGTCATCGAAAGTTTCTTCTGTAATCCCAACATTTGTTGAACAAGATCATAATTTTTTATATTATACGTTCGTTGAAGTTTCTCGACGCGTGCAACTAATTTATAAAATTGTTCAAGTGTAACAACTGATTTAGGAGCACCATCAGCTTCACGACCTTTTTGATCCATTTCTATATGGTACAATAATCAAACTGTTATAATTCAAGCTGGTAAAGATATAATTACAATAAACAAACATATTAAACCTACTTTCGATGCCAAATTCTTGAGCTGATTCTGAAGATTCCACTGTACAAAAAACAAACTATTAGTAACATATTTGCTTAACAACAAACCTAATAGATTTTATGTAACAAATTTGTCAAAAAGATTTTGTTTCTGCTTTGGTAGTATTGGTTTCTATCTTTTATTTAATTGAGCAGCAAGTGTGTAGAAAAAATAGTTATGCAATTGCCATATAATTTTGCTTTTGTGGCTGTCACTGTGGTATTTACTTAGCTACATAGAGGTATTTACATATTCTCGCAAATGTATACATTTATACGTTCTTTGTCATTAATTTGTAGAATTTTGGCCGTAATAGATTATTGATTTGAAATATGAATTCCCTTTTTGTCTTTAAATAAAGAGAAACTCGAAAAGTAAGTACGTTTTCTTAAAGGTACGTAAATTTCCACTTTTCGTTGTCTTGATCACAAAATCAAAGTTTTTGCAGGGAAGTTTTTTCTTAAATACTAATGTTAGAACCAACTAGAAAATGATATTGATGATAAATGATAGGTAACCCAGAAACCAAATGGTGTCACGTGGTGATTAAAAGTATAATAAACTTACCTACAATTATTTTCTCCTGTTGATAGTCTGTAACAATAAAGTTTTGTATTTTTAACCGACTTCAAAAGGAGGAGGTTCTCAATTCGACGGTATTTTTATAATGATAATGACAACTCCCGGCATTTCTGAACCGATTTCGAAGATCATTTTTTTGTTGGGAAGAGGGTACCTCAGTATTGTAATGGTCCCATTTAAATTTGTAGAAAATATTCCACCTGTAAGGGTGGTAAACTGGAGGCTGAATCCGGTTTCGTGCACTTTCCGGTAACTGATTTCAATAAAACTTGGCTAATAGATGTAATTCCACAAACTTTTGAGGTTTTTTAGTACTCGGTATTGAGATTATTTGCTAACTTTTTGACATATTGTTCGCAAGTCTGTAGTTCCCTTCTTTGTGTTCATATCGAGTAGTCTTTACAGCTTAACAGTTTGTTATTACCCTCATGTATTGATTTGGACGAACCCATCGGAGTTTTCAAAATGTCACAAAACCCTTCTACAGGACGGTAGACGGTTGTTTGGTGATCTCACAAACTCTTGATTGTAATAGCGAAGAGCCATTTTATGTGAAGGAAATTTTTAAATTGCTTGGATGTGACAGAAATAAAAGGTTATAAGTAGGTGATATAAATCTCACCTAAAACGCTAACACATCTCAAGCAATAAGTTTGTTTTTGTTGCTATTTGTTGTACTTTGTATTTACGTTTGACATTGTGGATAAAACGAAAAAAAAAAAAGATTTACCGGTACTGCTACCACCACCACGATCGTCTTTTTCCTGAAATTAATTATATTATTGAGTTGTTTTGCGACCATGATATTCAATATTTTTTTGTAAAAATTACTCTAAACTAGTTTCTTATAATTATTAATACATAAATTACGCACTGATTGCTGGAAGGCACTTATTCGAATTCAGCCGGATCGAAAAAAATCTTAGTATTTGGTCTAAGTATCACTAACTGTAATAAACTAGTGGAGTAATTTCACAATATATAATTGAATATTATGGTCGTAAATCAGCGTGGCTTTCAAAAAACTTAATTATAATTATTAAAGGACAACTCTGTACAAAGTACCTGGCTGAGTGAAGAAACAGATTTCTCACAGACGACGCTATGGCACAAAAATCGTTAAAAACATTGACTTACAATTATATGGACGTCGGGTCCGCGCTAAAAAGTGTCCGCACTTGTAAGGCGCTAAAATCGTATACAGAGCGCGACACTCCGCTTTAGTCTTCATTTGTTCTACGGACAGCGCGATACTGCGATGACATAACAATTTAAATTTCGAATAGGTTGACTTGGGACATTTTTTTCGTGGTTTTTGTATTAGACCCGTCGTCCATATATTTGTAAGTCAATGGTTAAAAACCATAGATTTATACTAAATCTATGTTAAAAACAGAAACAAAGATCAGCAACAAACACGTAGAAAAATTTGTAAGGTCTGCTGGTTCTTACCGATTGCTGGTATGCGCTGGTTCGAATCCAGCCTAATTAAGTGTTCGATCTTTTTTATCATCATTATCATACCCATTTATACGTCCGACTGCTGGGCACGGGTCTTAATATTATATTATCTTTTTTATATAAATAATTATAATAATAATAACGCACACACTCAACATAGCCCCGCACTAGGGAAACCCTGTGTCGCGGGTGCCATGGACACACATAGACAATCACAAATTACACCCAAACTCACGAGAGAAATAACTATAGGCCGTACAATATTTCTCCCGGCCCGGGAATCGAACCTGGGACCTCTGCGTGGCAGTCCGGCATGGTAACCGTTCTGCCACGGAGGCAGTTAATTATGTTAGTTGTGTAATTTGTATGTTAATTGTGGGTAGCTATAAAAGACAACCTCATTCAGATGATAACTTCGCGCCTAGTAAGGTCCTTTATAGTCGTAGCAATTATTCTTGATAATTAGATGTCTCTTAGATACATAACACGTAGTTCTTTCTGTGTTTAGGCTTAAACTATAAACCAATCATAAACAAAACATGGATCTGGAACTTACTTTCCCTTCGCTAGTTAAGTCATTGGAAGAGAGTGACTCAGTTGTCTCTGATGAAGATTCTCTAATAAGTGTTTTGTCTCCAGTCTTCTTTATAACCTTTTCTAATTCCTTTTTCCCCTCTTCTTTGCCACGTGACTCATATTTTTCAGACGTAGACTTTTCCCTCTCGTCTTTGTTACGTACCGCAATCTTTTCCTTCTCGTCTTTGCTGGGTACCAGAGTCTTTTTTGTTGTTGTCTTTTCCTCTTCGTCTTTGCTAGGTACCGCAAACTCGTGAAATGACACACTCTTTTGTAAAGTCTCTAAGTTTTTAGATTTCACTGACTGTATTCTGTCTGATTCTCCTGTTGTTTTAACTGATACATTAGTGACAGTTTGGTCCGAAGACGACGACGTCGATGATATTTCATTTTTTTTGTGTTTTTTCTTCTTTTTACTTTTTATCTTGATATCAGTGATAGAAAGCTGGCTTCCAATGGCCGTTAACATCGCTGCATCGCCAAGTTCTATTGGAACTTGTCGATCCAATAATCGCATATGTTTTGCAAGTATAGTCAATATCATATGTATTAATTTGAAGTGTACTTTACAACCCTGTAAACAACGAGAATGATGGACGATCCATGAAAGCTGTACAATTTTAACAGTAATATTTTCGTGATGAGGGTTGTATTAATATAACGTTATGAAATAGCATAGTTATTTTCAAAATATGAATTTTAAGTCTAAGCAACAGCACCGTGTTTATATGAATTTGTTTTTGTTCTGATATATTAATGTAACGATTCCGTTGCTCGTTCGTTATTTTAAGCTTATTTATCTAGTATTTACCATTGTTAAGTGAATGTTTGTATTCTGTTTTGAGAAATTAAAGTCTTAAATCATAAAACCCAATATTAAACTTTGTTAAAAATATGGATGTTGTATAATATTACAGAATAATGTTTATTAATAATGTTTTTGATGAATACAAACCTCTTCCTTAAAAGCATCTTCAATCATTGCTCCTACACTCGTCAGAGACATTTTAGGTGATGTAACTATAATAATACCTATGTAATATAAAATAAAAATTATTATGTAAGATATTGTAGGAAAAATGCTACAAAATTCTTTGTTCCTTGATGGATTGAAACAAAGAAAATAAAACCATAAAATGAAGTTGGTGACAGTTATACATTATTATTGCCTTAATGGCGGCCACTAGGTTTAGGCCAGTGTCAGTTTCGAGGAATGCGGTCAGTTGAGGATGAAAAACTTGAACAACACTAATATTGGTCAAAAACGCCAACTAAGGTAGGACAGTTATATACTGGAAGGTTAAATACGTTAGTTAGGTCAAAACCGACATTGAACCTTAGACTTTTTCCATCCTCTAAGCATTGAACCTATATTTCTATAAAGCGGCTGTATCGCTTTTGCATCGCTGCTACAAGTCGCGGCGGCTCTTAAATCAGACGAAAGTCTACACGTAATAATGTCATTTTTAAAAGCTTGACGTACCCGTGTGCCATGCTTTTTTATGTATGATATTATTCTCTATTATATTTTATTACATTATTTTTTTATGCAAAAGTCGTACCTGGTGGTAAACGACCCGCAACCTGAGATGTAAAGTTGACAAGTCTCTTGTGCCTGTAGTTTCACCAGCACCCCCTTTCAAAACCGGAATGCAGTAATGTTCACATGACTGCTTAATGTTCACATGACTGCTTAATATTCACATTACTGCTTGTTGGCAGAAATAGGTATGGTCGCAATACTTCCTTGGACGAACTCTTTCAATTAAAGCACCTCTTTTGCTATTAAGACTATACTGTTACATAGGGCGCACTATAAGTTTCCGAAACTGGCCACTTACATAAACAATATTTTAAAAGTAATAAAACATTTGAAAATCGAACTCTTTGGCTGTAGAATACAGTTTGTTTCATCTGACCATCACTTGTTTTTACATTGTGGCGTCATTTTAGAAATTGGTTGTCTACATCACCATGGATTTAACTCGTGAAAATTTTAGTAGCATGATTTTCTACGACTTTAAGTGTAATTTAACAGCTCAGCGGAGCTTCGCTCGGCTTCAAACTGCTTTTGGCGATGAACAATATGCAAAACGATTATTTATAGCTGGTTTGCAGAATTTAAACGGGGTCGTGTGAATCTCAGTGACGAATTTCGAGATGGTCGCCCGTCCACTGCTGTGAACAACAAAAACATCGATGCTGTGCGCCGTACGATCAAAACAGACAGGCATGTGACATACCATGAGATTCGGGCATCTTTAGGCATAGGCATGAGTCAAATACAATCAATACTACACAAACATTTGCGTGTGAAAAAGCTGTGCTCTCGGTCCCACACAATTTGACTGAGGCTCAAAAAACGGATTGCGTCACTTGGTGCAATGTCGTGCTTACCAGATGCAGCGAAAGGGCATCAAATTTCGTATGTGACGTAGTAGGTGACGAAATATGGATTTTAGTTACGATCCCAAAATAAAGCAGCAATCAAGCATATGGGTCTTTCGAGATGAGCCGGAACCAAACAAAGTGGCGCGCGTGCAAAGTACCTCTAAGAGGAAGATTGGTTCTTTTTTTTTAATAAAACTGGACACGTGGCTACTGTTGCTTTGGAGAATCGTTGTACCGTGAACAGAGATTGGTACACGACCATTTGTTTGCCGGAACTTATTGACAAACTCCGTAAAAATAACCGTAAACGCCGGATCATCTTGCACCACGATAATGCCAGTTCTCACACGGCCAGGCAGACAAACGAATTTTTGAAGGTGAACAACGTGGACCTTATGATCCATCCCGCGTACAGTTCCGACCTGGCAACTTGTTACTTTTATTTATTTCCAAAAAATAAGAACCAGTTACGCGGTCAACGATTTTCATCACCTGAAGAGGCTGTCGAATAGTATGAAAAATATGTTTCATGGATTGTCACGGAGGATTGGCATATATGGTTTCAAAATTGGTTCATTCGTATGAAAAAGTGCATTAACGCTAACGGAGAATATTTTGAGAACCAATGAATTTATTTTTGACCCTTTATAGTATTTTTTTCTTATTCATTCCGGAAACTTATAGTGCGCCACACGTATTCTACTAATTTTATAATGTTTAGATATAAGTTAATTATCGAGTTCTTAGGTTTTCGCGATTGTTACATATAGGAAATGAAACTATTTCCTTAAATTAGTTTTATTAAAATTTTTTTTTTAAAAATTAGTTAATTTCCTAAAAGTTAATTGTTCTATCTGTAACTTAAAACCTGAAAATAATCTGAAAGTGTGAAAGTCACAAAATTTTGAATGGTTTCATTATGTTGCGATGATAGGTGTCAAAACGGGCCTATTGGATTATGACGACTTTAGTAGGTAATACGATGTCGTAAGACATGGCTTTCTTTGCACGCTCCAAAACAATGTAATGCTATCAGTTTTTGGATATTGATCTATTTGTGCAAAAAAATTACTACTTCTTCCTTGTGTTTAAAGTGAAAAAAATCTTTATTTATACTTATTATGTATAATCTTGTATATGTTGCAGAAATATATAAACAAAGGAACTTCGCTTAAAACTCATCGTTTTTGGAGCAAAAATATTGTATCTGAAATAAGTTTCTTACAAATAGAAAGCGTTTTGTGTTAGTTTACATAAAGAATATGAACTAATTTGTGAACAACGATAAAAATAATACTTGTTGTACTATACTAGTATAGACACCCAATTTTATACAAAAGAATGTCGCACCTGTAACTCCGATTATTCGGACGCTTATTTTGATTCTTAACGCGATCAAGAGATGGTACCAAGTAAACCCACGATGCGATTGTAATATTATTTGCAAAGGCCAACGGATAGTAGCTTTTACATTTTTGTCAAAGTCTTCTTCAAGCGTTGATTATAATTATATACCATAAAAACATACGTTTATTAAAATTGCAAAGAAGCTGAGTTCGTATTTTAGACATTTTAAAGTAAAAGTCAGTGCTAAAACGTCACTTACTTTCGAGAATAAATTCAAAGAAACGCCATCTATACAATCGACTGCAAACAGTTTACTGTTTTCACCAATTATTATAATTGTAAATTAATTTAGATTGAACGTTCCTAAAATGCTGGTTAAATAGTTTTCCATTTCCATTTTATATTTTATACTTCTTATTTAGTATGATATACCTAAAATATTCGAAATTCAATACTTTATATATTTGTTTCATTTTATTTAAATCTACAGTTTTAAATGTGTACTAAAGCTAATTTTCAATGAATTGATACTCGATAACGATATGTATGTTGTTTCTAAGCATGAATTTCAGGTAAGAAAAGTTTTTGATATTCGATAACGTATAATTATTATGAAAGTAAAACTGCGTGTAACGCAAGAAACCATCTCAAGTTTTCTTGCACTTTGCCGGTGTCATTTTAATATACCAGTAGTTTCCGGGGTATGTCATTAGAGGGAAAGGATACAAATATAAATTTGATGTAGTTTTTAATTTTGAAATATTTACAAGGTTTCCTTCGAGTTTCCTCCATAAATATTACTAGATAATAAACGAATGAACTTTAGAGAACAAACATTATGATATATTCAATTATTATTATTTACAAAGGCAATTTTTTTAACATAAATATTTATTTAAAAATTAATTCAATAGTCTGAAGAAATGAAAACATGTTCGGAATCTGAAAGATGTTGTCATCCAAAAATTATTGATTCCGAGTTTACAATTGTTAAAATTTGCTACCTATCTAAGTATGGAACTATGTATAATATTTGATATTATTATATAGTATGTATAAAAATGAGCTAAAATATTTAGGCACGATTCCGACAGTCAGGTGAGCGCGACGTAGGGCTGGTGTGCGCCTCGACAGGCGGCAGGGGCGGCGGCGAGGCGGTGGGGGGCGTCGCTCCCGCCCCCTCGTTTTGACTAGAGGTTGTCTGCACTGCAGACGGAGTCGGCTCAGCATGCTCCACACGCCCTAAATTTAACTTCACCTGTCGTGGCAATTCGTCTTCCGCCCACTGCTGACTGGGTTTTTCTTGGTTTTTAAATTTAGTGTACTCTTTCGCTATTAGAACCGCCAGTGGAGGTTCGGGCGGGATGTAAGAATGTGGCTCGTAATTGTCGTCGACATAATCGTTCGGGTTCCACGCGGCGGTGGTTGTCGTAGTTGGAGTAGCGGTAACAGTCACACTTCGTGCAGTGGTAGTCGCTCGCGATGTGATTGGCGAACTTGTAGTTGTCGTCGGTCGCTCAGTCACCAAATCTGGGGAAACAGTTGCAGTGGATGGTATCGTGAAGACTTTTCTCTTTTGGTTAGACCTAGTTTTACGCCGCTTTTGCAGTTTTGGCACATCAAGAAAAAATGGATCAAATATAAGGTCGGATTCCTTGTAGTCGTCATAATTGATGGGTACTATTGGTTTTACTGCGCTTACTACATTTCCTACAGTGTAATTTAACTTCTTTCCGTTGCTGTCGCTAACGGAAGCGCTGGCAGTGACAATAACTCTAGGAGGGCTTTTCGGTTTTGTTGGAGGCCGTTCTGTAACAGTCGGAGGGCCCACGGATCGAGCAGCTAAGGACGATTCGTCATCACGAATGGATTCATCACTTCGTTTTCGATCATAGTAGTACGGATTGAATGGTAAAGGACGTTGCGCAGGTAAAACTGATGGTTGATATTGTTGCGGCCTATGTTTCACCGAAGTTTCATGTCTCTCGGACGACTGCGATGAAGGCCCCGGACGCAAGAGCTGATCTCGTGGATCCAAGGTGGTTGGCCGAAATGGCGCTGGTTGGGGCCTTTGTACGAAAGGCGTGGGCCGTTGTTGGGCAGGACGGGGCGCAGTTCTAGACGACTCATACTGGAAGTGGTCAAACTGCTGAGGTGGTGCGTGTGTGATATACACACCATCTGCCGGTCGAATACTTTGTCGTTGGAACGAAATCGCTTCGGATCCTGGTCCACGATGACGGTAGATAAATTCTTGAGGAGATAAGAGCGCTGGATCAATTGATGGCAAGGATGGTGTCAAAGGAGAAGAGGACGGTGAAGCTGAAGGATATACGGTAGGTGAGGGAGAGGAAATTAAATGAGGAATAGGAGATATAAGGTGTGGTGATGTTGGTTTCGGCTGAACAGTAGTGGTCGGTGGTTGTTTGGTAGTGGTCTTTGTTGTTGTGGTCGTTATAGTCGTAGTTGAAACTTGACTGGTGGTTGATATCGGAGAATGTGAATAATCTTCTTCGTATTCGGTGTTGTCATCGAATTCGTCCTCTGGATATTCTGGTAATAAAAAATAAAAACTAGTCATAGTTAAACATGCTTTTTTGGGACATGTTCATCGATTAATAAGTAGTTGATTTTCTGCAATTTTTATTTTTATTTAAAAGCATATTTTTATTGTTCCTTGTAAAGATATGTTACATACCTTCTATAATTTCTTCGTGATTCCGTATTGGTAACGATTGTTGAGTAGGGAGAGTATTCTGCGAACCCTTAGGGTCATCTTTCTTTATGTCTTGCAAAGGATCTTCGGTGGAGTCTACAATATCTGTAGAGTGTTCCTGCGTTTTAGAATGTAACGTCGTAGATTCGTCTAAGGAGGGATCAGATTGTTCTAGGTTGGGTTTCAACTTTTGAACGGATTGCTCAGTGGGTTGACCTTGAGGCTTGGGTTGATCTGCTGATATTATAGGGGGCGCAGTGCTGCCATATAACTCTAAATTTAAACTGTAGAATTTTTCAGACTTTGAACAATCTACTTCGTCAACTCTCTCACATACTCTTGTCTCCTGCAAAAATGGCAATAAAGAACTTTAGAAATTAATTGTAGGTTCCGCAAATGAGATTTTGTATGAAAGTTATCTACTTGATAGGGAATATCTCAAATAAGCCAAATGAGTAAAAATTGTACATCGATGTTGTATATACGTTTCTTAGTAATAATTACATATCGTAAATTACATGCCGTGGTTTCAAAAGAAATAATGATTGATTTCCATTTACCTGATCAAAGACAGTGCCATTGAGGCAAAGGAACTTGATGTCCATGGGCTCCTCCTGTTGGCCCACGGTGCAGACGTGGAACATCTGACAGGAGGTCTCTGTGTCGGCGTAGTACCCGCCTATTACTTTGCCCGCGCACGTGAAATTCGTCTCGGGCAGGTTGTCAAAGTCCAAGTACTGAAATGTAAATTTTCAAACATTTAGAAATATGACACATAGGAAATAAAACTATTTTAATAATTTGTAAAACTTAATATAGCGTAAATTGGAATGTTTTCTTTGTAAAATTAAAAATAAGGTATTTAATTAATAATTATTGTGTGAAAAAATAGGGTGGTTTGCATCAATATTAGACATAACTGGTTGAAGACTGTACCACGTCAGTCAAACTTGACCATGGGACCTGTAAAGGGCCCGAAACGTCGGTTTGTTTGAAAAAACAAATACATGCGATTTAAATACGGAAAAATAGTTTCATGTCCTATTTAGAAATATGTCAATCTAGTTCTTCGGTTTTCGCGGTTGCTACACGTTAGAAATGAAACTATTGTTTCGGATTTATAATTAGTTTGTTTTTTCAACCACAGTTAGCTGTGACTATGGGACTTTTAGAGAGCCCGAAAAGATGCTTTGTTTGCAAAAACAAATAGGTACGTGAATAGTAACCTATACGCGAATAAGATCATATAGGTACTCGTTTCCAATATTTAGACATATTTTTGATAGTAATTCTTAAAGCAGAAGAGCCATCATCAACATCATCATAACAGTCGGAAGACGTCCACTGCTGAACATAGGCGTCCCCAAAGATTGCCAGATTAGTCGGTCGGACGCGACGTGCATCCATCGGTTACTCGCCGCCCTGACCAGGTCATCCGTCTATCTCGTAAGAGGCCGTCATACTGAACGCTTTCCGGTTCGTGGTCTCCATTCGAGAACGTTTCTGCCCCAATGGCCGTCAGTTCTACGATATATAAAGCAGAAGGGTATGACCGAGAAATAAATTTCTGTTTTACGTGAGCGCCTTCATATTAAACTTTTATAAGCGCTGCAGTCTGCAGTGCGTCAGTAATTTTTAGTTCAATTATTGTGACTGCAAAAGTGGCGCGTGAGTGTCACAACAATAAATACTGTACATATTGTATGAGAATTAGTAGTGCGCGGCTACTGCAATATAGTGGCGCCACTGCAGCGCTTCTAGAAGCGTCTAATTAGAAGGCGACTAAAAACATTGTTGTATTTTCGTTTGATTGGTTGTACACTTTAGGTGGAAAGTAATAGAATATTCTTGAAATCCTCTGATTGGAATGATTTATAGAACAACACGGTATAGTCATTGTAGTAGTTTAAACTACTAGCATTACAATTTCAATTTAAACTGAAATGGTCGTAATCCGTATCTTACACCTTTAATTTCAACATTTTTGACTCTAACTGAGTACGAAATAGGTAAAAAAAATAGAGATCAATGACACTCACCCCTGGTTGAATGGACCTCGATATTCGAAATTCGTTTTGGAATATGAATAACAGCAACCACAGCCATACTGAAAAGTGTTAAGAAATAAAATTAGTTGTAAATGTATTCCGTCTACCTAAGACATAGGTACTCTCACTAATTTTCACATAGTTAGCTCAGGTACATACTATATAGCGATAAAATTTATAACAAAATACCTCTCACAATAAAAAATGTAGAACAGGAACATATTATGTTTACAATAAATTGAAAGGATTCTTACTATCGAAATGTTTTTATAATTTACAGGAGTTTTTTTTATTATAAATAGATAAATATAAAAATAGATAACGATAGCACGACTTATTCCCATCTGATCCCCAAAACTGATCCACCGCCAATTTGAAATGCAACTGATCCCCTCTATATTTTACAACTCCCTAAAATGACAATAGATAATGAAAATAAATAATGACAATAGAAAATGATAATAGATAATGTTGTACTTAGTAAGTAAGTTAATTTGCAACGCCCTCCACAGGGTTTATGTTGGATCGTGTTATAATATTAAAACCTTTTTCTGCACCACATAATGCAATAAAAGTTATGACTATGACTATTCGTATTGCTAAGTTTTATTAGCTGTAGAGCTCCTTGTGAAAGAGTTCGTCCAGGGAAGTATTTCATCATATCTATTTCTGCTACCAAGCAGTTATGAGAAATATCTGTGTTCCGGATTTGAAGAGGAATGGTGCTGATGAAACTACAAACACGTGGGACTTGTCGACTTTATGTCTCGGGTGATGGTCGCAGTGGCAGCGCTCCTCAGATCCTTGCGATTTAAAGCTCTGACTGGCACTGCAACTGTTGCTCTACTGTTTACTCTACTGTTACTAACTGTCTCCGTGGCCGAATGGTTACCATGCTGGATATCCACGCAGAGGTCCCGAGTTCGACTCCCAGGCCGGTAGAAATATTTGCATTGTCTATATTTATTTCTCTCGTGACTTTAGGTGTAATTTGTAGTTGTCTACCTATGTGTATATCCATGGCACTCGCGATACAGGGTTTTCCTAGTGCGGGACTATGAGTGTGTAAAAAAAAAGAACTGTGAAATCGTGGTTTTGCAGATTACCCGTTACTCGTTTCTGCTGTCGTGATAGTGGAGTTAAATGCTACGTAAACAAATCAGGATAGAATATCGACACACGACATGTTGTTGCTATGGTTATTAATAAAAAATGTAACATATAACTTGTGTACCTTGCAATGCAGAGGCGGAACGCACCAATAGCGTGCCGCCGGCTGAGATCCGAGCTTGCCGCCGCATCTGCAATGAAAGCAAAACAAATATTCAATATAGGAAGCTCCTACTTCACAACAAAGCGACTGTTAGGTTCTTCAAGTAAGAGCACTTAATGGCTATAGAAACTAAATATACTAATGACAATATTGGTATTACATTCAAGTATTATATCTATTATCTATAGTATATCTGTTATTAATAGTTAAGTAGTTGGAACAGACGGTAAACAACACAAAATAAATACCGAGCGTAGCGAAGCTGATATATCAAATGTTATTTATTAAAATATTAACTTTATGTATGAGGAAGTTAGAGTGTTATAGTTTACTAAACGAATGTGGAAGGAAAAACCTATGGGGGAAGATGGACCTCGCCATTTTTATATGAAAAAGATTGAAGATGTTGTTAAAAAATCAAGTTTTAATATGAGAAAAAAAATTGTATGTATAATGGTATACTGCAGGCGCTGGTTCGAATCTTTATATTACGAATTATAACCATCGATTATATAACCAGAAATAGAGACGAAATATCATTTAATTTGTTTGAAAATTATTCGGCCACATCATTACTGTGACAACTGCGCTCCAAATGGCCAGCCCAAATTCGAAACAATTGATCGGAGTCGTCAATGGGTGTCGTCCATTGTTTTCTTCTTCAGCTTTGGTATAATGGACGAAAACTGCAAAATTACATATTTAATATTTAATTACCGATGAAATTTGATTGCGTTTGTTTTGTGATTAGATGTTTTGCTGTTTTTCCCACACCACCGAATGAAACAGCACGCTATTGTTAGAGATATTATCTTTATTACAATAAATACAGAATATTTTTGGAATATATGGAGACGTATACACAGGTCAGTTGTTGGCGCTGTCTATATTTCAGTGCAAACGAGAGTTGATATTTATAAGTGATGTATCATTGACGAGTTACCAGGAATATATGGACCTTATTTCGTCTCTATTTCTGGTTATATACTCGATGATTATAACAAACTAGTGGAGTAATTTCACTAAAAAAAAATGAATATCATAGTAGTAAGGATTCAAACCATCTCAGCCTCTCAATTCCCGCTCTTATTATGTTTAATTTCTAACTGAAATTCAAATTCAAACAATCTTTAATTCAAATGTAAGCAAAATACACTTTAAATCGTCAAATTGATTAAATTTTACTGCTTATTCGTAAGGCAGATTCCCCTGACACAAATGAGCAAGAAATTCTGCGGTGGTTCTTCGTAAATATACAATATTCGTTCAAACATCATAGATAGAAACTACTTGCAAGAGCTAAATGGGTCAATAATATCAAGGATTTTTGTCAGTATAAGGTTTTTGTTTCATTATAGTTTTACACATCGTGAATGTCAAATTTTGACTATCTACCGGAATCTTATTATAGAAGGGCATACGTTACACCTATGTGACTTTGTGAAGATGATTATCAAGAACTGGGGGTCTACCATAACCTTTCCAAAAACAATCTTATTTCAATGTAAGCTTAAAGTAATATTATTATTATAGTAATATTACTCATATTCGTACCATGACAAATTTATCAACCAAGTAATGTATTATTGCTAAAGTGACTGAAAGAACGAATGATTTCCCAATATTGTCTATTCCTTACTAAATATAGGAAAGAGATAACGCTATGTGAACTATATAATGCCATCTCTTTCTTTTTTGATGTTCGTCTTGTCGTAGTATAATGTTTAAGTACTTAATGTTATTTACATTCAGAGACTTTTGATTGTTAAGAAAAGTATGTAATAATAAAATGTATTAAAATTACGTTGTTGTCAATAATTATTCCCCATTTGCATGAAGAAAAATAAATAAAACAAGCTGGGTCTTGATAGTCACGTTGTGAGTTCAGAACTATAATCTAGTGCCAACTGTTAGTTCCGCCAAGGAGCATATGGCGCTGTTATAATTTTATGAAATAAACATGGCGTATTTTTATTTATCGAAAAATTATTTACTATGTGCTATTAAATAAAAAAAATAAACAATATATTGAAGAGATATATGTAAATAAATAAGTTCAACTTAACTTTTAAACATTACAAATTAATATTAAGATAATAAAACTGAAAATAATATTGTTTCTAATGCATCCATAACTATTTTAAGATTGCTAAACTTGACATAAAATCAATATTACTTTAATGTTAAAGTCGCGTCATACGAACTGAGTGAATGAATAGTCACAAAGCTGCCAATAAAACATCATAGTTTTGACATTACAATAAGCTACCATGGCGGAATAAGTTACCATGCCGGACTGCCACGCAGAGGTCCCAGGTTCGATTCCCGGGCCGGGAGAAATATTTGTATGGCCTACATTTATTGTTCTCGTGAGTTTGGTTGTCATTTGTAGTTGTCTATGTGTATGTCCATGGCACCCGCGACACAGGGTTTCCCTAGTGCGGGGCTATGTTGAGTGTGTGCGTTAAAACAAGAAACTGTAATAATGCCGTACAATAGACATAGAGGGAGTATGTGTACATATAATATATATATATATGTATATGTAAAAGTAATTAGGATGCAATATTCTAATCAATGTTTATTCCGATTCATAACCGAGTGTGGCAAAAACAATGGCACACCTTAAAACAATAGCCGCCTCTATTCACACGGCGCATCTCGCAATGAAATTGCGACATAAAATGAATTATAAACCGTCTACAATGAATTGTTCCGATTCTACTCATCCAAAAATTTCATAACATGACAATTAAAAATTCGACGTGAAAAATGTTCCACTTTTTCACGGATACATAATTGAGGAAGTACATCAGGCAAGAGAACTGTGCTAACAGCCTGTTGTTTGATTAATAGACGCATTATTGTATCAGTTTAATTAAAGATACCTACATGAATAATAATAACCGTGTATAATAGAGATTTTCTAAGTAGCAGTAGTTCGTTCGTCCAGGAAATTCCATCACTTTACTTATTACTGTAGCTAAGCAGTAATGTGACCATTACAGCGTTCAAGTTTTGAAGTGTAAGGGTTCTCGTAAAATTATAGAAACATGGGACTTCAAGTCACGCCTCAGGGTGACGGGTGCAATGGTAGTGTACCTTAGATCTTTGCGAATTAAAACTTTGAGTGGCACTGCAACTGCTATGGGTAGGCGTGTTGTTTAACACTAGACGCACGACTAAAGGATGATTCACATTAGATCGTCCCGGGCGCGAGTCGTGTTTGAGTCATCCGAGCCTCGGACGTGCTGCATATTCATATTTACATTAGACCGTGCCGGGCGCGAGCCGTGTCCGAGACATCCGAGTCTCGTACGTGCCACACGATCTTAAATTAGGCAGGGTCAGAGAGTGTACACATTACAACGAACCGAGGCCGGGCCGCATCCGACACTCGCACGAACTCGGAAGCAGCTCGGGCGTCGCTCGTCCGTGTCACGAACGCGGCACGTTGTAATGTGAATCACTTCATATAAAATGCACGCAGCATTTCCAATCCGAGCCTCGTACGTGGCTCGGTTCGCGCCCGGGACGGTCTAATGTGAATAATCCTTTACTCGTTCCGTCATTTAATATCATAAAAAAAATATGGACAATATAAACTATGATGAACCTTTCTGCAAAGCTACTTTGGTGTAAGCGGAAGCGTGTCTGTACTATTATAAGCTCAATAACAAAGAAATAAAACAACCTCACGATTATTGTGCTCTCGTTACGCCTGTCAGATTTTTTTGTAATGCCAATAATATACACAATATACACGCGCATCATTTAAAAGAGAAAGTATACATCGAAATATCAAATTACAATTGCTGTTAATAAATCCACTACTTTTAAACGTCATTGACGAATAAGCCTTAGCTCACGTTTTTTTAACTTGTATTGGTAACTTTGTTATGTTATCTATAATCCCTTACGGCGTTTTCTATCAACAAAAGCCATTAGTATGACGTAACGTCCATTTAATTTGTAACAGATTCAGTTATTCTCATTCATTGTAACCAATCTGGGGCACAGCGGTGCGACGCTCGAGCGTGCACCCTTTTCTCAAACAAACTCAGGGCACTTCATAGTACGTCCAATCTGTGTCACAGATTAGATTAAAATCCAGAAATTTCTTAGTTTTCTTTTTTTTTTTATGATATCAAGTAAAAGGACAAACAAGTCGTGCGCCTGATGGTAAGCTACACGCCTGTCCATAACAGTTGCAGTGCCACTCAGAGCTAAAAATCGCAAAGATCTGAGGGGCACTGCCACTGCGCCCGTCACCCTGAGACATAAGTAGACAAGTCTCATGTGCCTGTAATTGCACCAGCACCCTTACCCCTTAAAATCGGAACACAGTAATGCTGACATTACTGCATGGCGGCAGAAATAGGCAAGGTAGCACTACTTCCCTGGACAAACTCTTTCACAAGTAGCTCTATACTGCTATCAAACGTAGATAGTAGTAGAGTAGTAGCTAAGAAATGATTGCCGTCAACCACGTCACTGGTGGCCGCCATGCTGAATTATGGGTCATGTTTGCCATCGTGATGAAATGATAACTTATCGCACACTACAATAATGTTGTAACTCAAAATATGTGAAATTCAACATTATATCATTACTGAATTACTGAACGTAACATTTTATTCTTTACACGTCAATAAATCCGTCGTTAGAATATTGTAAGAAATAATTAAAAGATATCTACTTAACTGCTAACGAGTCACACTTTATGTAATCTAGTTCAGGCCAAAATAGTCATTAATTAAATTTTTATTGAATTGTTATTCAATTATTTTTTGTGAAATTACTCCACTAGTTTGTTATAATTATTAATACAAAGATCGAACACTCAGAAAAAACACTCAGAAAAAATTCCTTCGATCCGGTCGGATCCGACGTCTTCTTGCATACCGTGGCAGACGCTATACCAACTAAGCCACGGAACAAACCAACGGACCTCACGAATTCTTCTATGTGCTTGCGTCGTGTCTTTGTACTTGGTATTTCAACGACTTTTTAGTCGTAACGCCATCT